CGTATTAGACAGAACTGTTAACGACGACGGCGAACAAGAGGGAGAATGTGAGCACTGTGTGCTGCTCAAAATAGAAGTCCCACCTCAAACGCATCGGCCAAACAGGAAAACTTATCAGCCGATGCCGATATTTAAAAAATGCCAAATATCGGCCGATATATCGGTCGACCACTAATTGCTTGCTTAAAAATCATAGGAATGATAAAGCACAAGCTCAGTGTTCTCAGATAAGAGTAAACTCTGTAGAAACACATTCACTCCTGTGACATTCTGCCATTTCTTTATCCTGTAATTCTAAGAAACTCGTTGCATTTATATCCAGTTATATGATGTTATCCCTTTACAGTAAGTTATTACTCTCACAAAATACCATTTCTTGAAATACGTGTAGAATTTAAAATGTCCAACAGGAAATATTTCCGCATAATGGATATTTTTGCGCTCAGCATTAATCATGCTATAGTTCGCTCTGTTCTGTGAAGTTTAGCGGAGATTATCGATTGTTGTCGGGATGAGCTTTTATGCAAAATGGAAATACGAGCATGAATCTGCAAAATTTAGAGATAAGAATCTAACCATAAAAGGTAAGTTATGTGCTGAGGAAAACGCACCTCAGACACGTTAAAAACACGCTTCTGCCAGAGCTCCTACGACACATCAGTATGCTTATGAGTTTGTTTGAAGCACTTAATATGATGAATTCTCTTGTTTAGGAGACCTTGGATCTGACAGTGTTTTTCCTGCAGCTGCTCACTGTGTCTTACACTATTTTTCAGATGGGTTTTCTGCATAGGAATGTGTTATTCACTGCAGTAAATTCCCGTGACTGGTGGAGGATTTCTGTTCAAAGCTTGCTGACACAATTAATCGATAATCTAATTCATTGTTGATTGTTTGTTGCAGCCCTAAATGAATGTAACTTATGTTTCTGCAAATATCATCAGGAATTACACAGTCGGCAGCAGACAGAGAGTGGCAGAGATTCACGCTCAAAGCTTTATCTCTCGCTCCAGATCTGCTCCAACTTTAGCACGTCAAGTCAAAACACCTTTATTTACATAGCACTTTAAACAATTCAGATTGTTTCAAAGCAGCTTTACAGTGATACACAGGAAAATTATGATTCAATGAGGCAAACAGGATTCAGTTCTGCTGTAAAGCAGCTCTAAAATGACAATAGTAACACACTAATCAGTTGAAATCAGTTCAGCACATCTCACTCCTGCGCTCAGTTATTGTCCTGACTAACACAGAACTGTGTGTGTGTGTGTGTGTTGTAGAACCTGGCGTCGCGGGAGAAGAGGCTTCAGGCTCAAGAGCGAAGACGCATCACAAACCATTTCATCCCCGTGCTGCCTCAGTTACTGGCTAAGGTGAGTCTGTGGACTGATGAGAGAGCCAGACTAGAGTTGTGATGTGAAGATATCTGAAGATGTCAGTGAAGCCTGTGTTCGCTCTCAGTTCTCGGCAGACGTCGGGAAGGTGAGCTGTTTGCTCCGAGTGCCGCTGTATTTCCAGCTGGAGGTTTACGGCACATCAGGACGCCTGGAGAAAGTACGAGCCGTCTCTGATCAATCACATCATATTCACATTTATTCATACATGTAAATCTCTTGTGTATCAAATGATGCATGAACTGTCACTCATTATTTGCGTCTGAATATGTATGTTTGGGTTCTTGACATGTGAACTTTTTTTAAGGCTGAAATGTTTTTTTCTGCTTCAGGTTTCATGTGCAAATTCGTAAATTAAACTTTATATTGTACTGGTCACTATTTGGTGTCCTTCTCCATTTTATATAATCTTTTGGCTTTTTTGAAGTTCCTGAGATGTGACAATAATTGTAAAAAACAAAACAAAAGTACAAATGTTTGGTGTATTCTCAAGTAATGAGCTCATAATAATGGTACGTACAGTATAATGACCATTTATTGTGTGTTTGATGCATAATAAAATTGTTGCAAATACATGAAGGGACAGATGAAGTGAAGCGAGAGTTTGGTGAGCTGAAGTGAGCGTCTGTCTCTCTGTGGTCTCTCAGAGTCTGGACCTGCTGCTGTCTCAGGTGTGTGACATCATGCTGAAGCACCGCGAGGAGTGTGTGTTAGAGGCTTGTGTGCGTGTGTTGTGTGCCTTGTGCAGTGATTGCTACAGCTTCTGTGGTCGAGCCGAGAGAGCCGTCAGTCAGCTGCTGGATTCAACCGTGGAGAAATTCAGCTCAAACCTGGCTGAGATACTGCAGGTACACAAACACACCTGAGTCTGAAGCAGCATCACAGACGGCCAGCACCTGCACTCTCAACACTAGTCCTACACAACAACACTGCCTCGGCCAATGCACGAGTTCAAAGCAGATCTGACAGAAAATTACACACTTCAGCTCTAATGAATTTATGATTTGTTTTTCTGTAACTGAATTTCCCCAAAAGGAGGTTTTGTCAGATTTTGCTTGCTTCTTGAGACAAAAACTATAGCTGAGCTGTGTGTGTGTGTGTTCTTCAGGGATCGGCTGATGAAGATGATTTGTATGGAGCTGCTTCCTCTCTGAACATTCTAGCCATCTTCAGCAGGTGTGTGTGTGTGTTTATGTGTGATTATGGTAGATAGTACTGAAGGGTCTCTACAGTGTGTTTTTGTGTGTCAGTGCCAGAGATTTGACCGGAAGGAACCTGTTTGAGTTCTGCTTTCAGCTGCTGAAGATGGGAATAGAGACGAGAGAAATCAACGAGAAGGTCTCTCTCTCACACACACACACACACACACTGGTTTCCATATCTTATGGAGACTCTCCATAGGTGTAATGGTTTTTAAACTGTACAAACTGTATTTTCTATCCCCTTACCCTCACAGATTTACCTGATCATTGTGTTTATGAGAGATCCTTAATAATAACAGTAAATCATCAGAGATCTGTGTGTGTGATTATTGTGATGTTTACATTCATATCTCATCCACACCTCCATAGAAAGTTCTTGACCTTAGGCTAATCTAGCATTATATGTTCATGCTAATTACATGAAAACACTGTTGTGCATTCTCTTACACTCACACTCATTATAACGTCATTGTGTGTGTGTGTGTGTGTGTGTGTGTAGCTGATGGTTCCAGCTCTTAAGTGTTCAGTCTTTCATCTGTTCTGGAAAGGAACGAAGATCAAGCAACACACTCCAGCAAGAGACAAGGTGCGTCATCTTCATCTCTGTGTCTCTGTTCGTTCTCCTTGTGTTTGTTCGAATGTGGCTGAATCTTCAATCAGACTGGGTACAATGACTTCCTGTCAAATCACAGGAAACATGAATTTGAGACTGTGGGGTGTGTGTGAACGCTGCTTTACTGTCACACTGATGGATCTGAAGGTGCTCTGAGTCTGTCTGATAACCTTTCCAACAGTTTTGCTTGTTCGGGCCCAAATCAACCAAGTCACTTTTGTTTGTATAGTGCTTTTCACAATACTCATTATTTCAATTCTTTTCAGAAAATCGCGTTGATATTTATAATATCTTCATGCCTTGTAGTTGCATTTATCAGATTAGTGCTGGACGAAAATATAGTTACATTTTGTGGCGATAAGTTGAGCTTAGCTATATAGTATAAATCGCTTTCTGTGAGTTTCTGTATGTATGCTGATAAACGTTTCAACTGATGGATCAAGGCTGCGATTCTAACACTGTCCACTGGAGGGACCCGTAGGATAAGCAATCTGTTAGGTCTGATCATTTCAGTTTCCATCAGTTTGAATACTAAATGTATAGGAACAGTTCATTGGTAGTGCATTCACAAAATAGTTTTATATGTTTTTTATCATTAGGTCCCGAGCACTGTGGTGCAAAGACCCTATTGCAATCGCTCGTTTATTATTCTTCTTCTAAAAAGAATCGCTTTTTTGAGGGCCTAAACATGCTCAAACTCATGAAACTTTGCACACACGCCAGAAGTGGCGAAAATTTACGTCTGGTATGGGTTTCAGAAGAGGGCGTGGCAAAATGGCTCGATAGCGCCACCTATACACTTTCAGCAAAGTATTATCAATCTTAAACGCATTTACATTTCATCATTTAGCTTTTATCCAGAGTGACTCACAAGTGAGGAGAACAATAGAAGCAATTAAACCGATTAAACCAATAAAAGGGCTACAATATGTTAGTCCCAGTCAGTCTAATCCAGTACACATAAAGGGTTTTTTAATAAATACAAAAAAATAGAGTAGAAACGTAATAGTAAAAAGTGTTAGTATTCATGAAAGACCCATGCACTCCCATGCACACTGTTTTGCTAAAGACAGGTTTGTCTGTCTGTCAGGCGGAGCTGAAGCGTGTGATGAAGGCTCTTCACTCATTCTGTGTGGTGTGTCAGAGCTGTCTGTCCGTGGCTCAGAGTCGCATCAGGAACCAGGTACAGCCCTCAGTCCTCAGTCTCAGACACACAGGGGTTTAGACTGTCGATCTGAATCACTCTGCTGCTCACATCACACCACATTTGTTCTAGTCTCACCGCAGCGCTGTGCAAACTACACAACAGCAGGGACTTTGACCAACAGTGAAACCCAGCCGATGACAAAAACACACAAGAAACTGTGCGACTGCTTGTTCAGCTCTAGAGTATGGAGCCGCTGTCTCTGAGCTTCTGTCGACTGGATTTGTTGTCAGTGAATGAGATTGAGGCTCGTCATGTGTTTGTTGTGTCCGCAGGCGTTTGTGTGTCTGTGTGACCTGCTGCTCGTCTTCGGGAAGCTGTGTGAAGGAGACGGTTCTCCGCTGCAGCTCTTCAGTCCTGACGACTCTCTCAAAGCAGAAATGGCTTCCTTCATCATCGACTACGTCTTCAGCGAGCCTGACGAAGATCTGGCTGGTACACGGATAAAGAAAGACACTTACACACACATTTACTCTAACTTTCTCCTAAAGCAGTCGTCTTTTGATAAGAAGATTGCGTGTGAAATGCAGATCTTGATCAGATGTAAGTAGCTCAGCAGGATTGTTCTGCAGGTGAGGAAGAGTGTGAGGAGATGAAGATGGCTGCTTTGCTGCAGAGGAGGAATCAGCTGGCTGGATACTGTAAACTCATCATATACGGAGTCCTGGAGCTGCGAGCCGCCACAGACATACTCAAATACTACAATAAGGTGTGTGTGTGGAGTAAGAGAAAGATTGAGCCTCATTTATGAAACATACGTCATATATGATCCTGACTTCTAAACCCTGGATTTTATTGTCAAAAGTGAGGAAGAAAGCAGGTTTACTAAAGGCATAAATTGACGTGAACTTTTTCTGTAACCCTAACCCAACTGAAGAGCATGAACTTCACCAGTAAAATAAAAAAAAATCACAATATGCATTAATATTATTATATGCACAAATTAGCAACTTCCTCATAATAGCGTAACTGAAATAGATTAATTAGATATGATTTCCTAAAATAATTATATATATATATTATGCACTTGTTCACACTGCGCTTGAATTTAAGATGAACTGTGATTTATAAAGAGGGACACAGTTAGGAACATTTAAGAGCAGGCTGAACGTTTTATAAATTCTTGGTAGAAACAATTTAGAATTTGTTGTATGTTTACAAATTAGGATCATTATACGCACATCTTTATAAATGAGCCCATTCTGTGCTGTGAAAATGTTTTTAATAAATAATGACCAGGTAAATAACAGTGTTAATGTTGTAATGTTTAAGTTATTCTTTATTTTTTGTAGTTCTACAGGGATTTCGGTGACATCATCAAAGAGACTCTCAGCAAATCCAAGATGATCAGCTCAGTGGAAAGTGCCAGGACTGTGTGCTTGTGTCTGCAGCAGGTGTGTGTGTGCTTGTGTCTGCAGCAGGTGTGTGTGTGTGTGTGTGTGTGTGCTTGTGTCTTGCATGTGTGTGTGTGTGTGCGTGTGTCTGCAGCAGGTGTGTGTGTGTGTGTGCTTGTGTCTGCAGCAGGTGTGTGTGTGTGTGTGTTCATTCAGCGGTTCTTTGGCGTTTTCATCTCTTTGTTCATTCTGTGTGTCTGTCTGTGTGTGTGTGTGTGTGTGTGTGTCTGTCTGTCTGTTTGTGTGTCTCTGTGTCTGTGTGTGTGTGCAGCTCTTCTCTGGGCTGGAGCAGGACAGGCGTGATGAGGAGTTGTCAGAGATCAGATTGCTGGCGAAGAAACTGGCGATGAACTTCAGCATCAACCTGCGTCTGATCCGTAAACCACTGCTGGCGTTACACCAGTGTGTATTCACCCTCTCATTACGCTCTCTCTCTATTTCTCTCTCTCATCTGTGGCCGTTTGTGGTTTGCGTAGGGATGGCATCCGTTTCGCGAGTCAAGGGCTTGATAAGGGAGACCTGATGAATTTGAGTTTTCTGGAGATTCTGAGTGAATTCAGTTTCAAAGTCCTGCAGCCTGAGTGCAAGCAGCTGTGAGTATCATTGACGCTCCGTTCACTGAGATCAACCGTATTCAGCTGCTCATGCGATTACAACACGGGATGCATCACCCATATGAAGAATAAAGCAACAAACTCTTTATTCCTGCTTTACTTCTTCGTTCAGAAGAATTAGGGTAAATTCATCCTGGGAAGCTCCATTTGGAAGGGACTTATTTACCAGAGAAATCTGTTTCATGTACTGTGCGGTTGTACGTCTGTGTTTTTCTCACACAATCCCAGAGCAAATTCCCTGCTGATTTTCAGCTAAAGCCCTATCTGGACAGTTTCTCATTGGGACGTCTGTAAAAACAAATATTGAACACAGAGATCACGATATTGATATTCCTCTGCCAGATAAAATGCTTTCTACTGTCCTGCAGTCAGTCTGTGTGTGTGTCTATGCTGCAGGTCGCTGTATCTGCGCCGTGTGTTTGCCTCAGTGATCAACAGTGAGTTTGTGAAGATGTACGAACGATCGCTGACTTCAGGATCCAAAGAAACTCCAGCAGCAGCAGAAAAACCCAGCAGGAAACGCAGACGCACACACAGTAAGTACACACACACACACACACTCACCCTCACACACACACACACACACTCACCACACACACACTCTCTCACACACACACAGAGACACACTCACACACACACACACACACAGAGACACACACACACACACTGGTTCAACTTTATTAGTGAGGACATTTCATAGGCTCAGTAGCACATACAGTGCTGTTCAAAAGTTTGGGGTATTTTTAAAAATTAATTAATACTTTTATTAATCAAAAATGCATTAAATCAAAAGTGACAGTAAAGACATTTATAATGTTTCAGAAGATTTCTATTTGAAATAAATGCTGTTCTTTTGAACTTTCTATTTATCTGTGAATCCTGAAAGATAAACTGCATCTCGGTTTCCAGAAAAATATCGTGCAGCACAACTGTTTTCAACATTGATAATAATCAGAAATGTTTCTTGAGCAGCAAATCAGCATATTAGAATGATTTCTGAAGATCATGTGACACTGAAGACTGGAGTAATGATGCTGAAAATACAGCTGCGCATCACAGAAATACATTACAGTTTAACAGATATTCACATAGAAAACAGATATTTTCATGTTTTTCTGTATTTTTGATCAAATATATGCAGCCTTGATAAACAGAAGAGACTTTCAGAAACATTATAAAATCTCCCAGACCACAAACTTAGCCCTACAGCTGTTCCAGTGATGGTACGTGTGTGTGTGTGTGTGTGTGTGTGTGTGTGTGTGTGTGTGTGTGTGTGCAGCCACCATCTGCCTGCTTCAGTCATCCACGATCTCCAACAACTGTAAGAAAAAGACGTTTCATTATCATCCATCTCAACTAAAGCTACCATTGTCCTGTTTCCTTACCTGCGCTCTGAGCTTCAAAATAAAGAACAGTTACTGCATTTCACTGTTTCTGAGTCTGCATTCCATAACACCCATTCACTTCCATTCATTTTCTTAAATTCCAGATATTCAAAGCAGCCATGAAATGAATCTTAAATCTTAAAAGAAAACTTTAAAGATATTGAAATGTTTTATTTAAATCAAATAAAAAAA